ATCACGTCCCCATCCAGACGTGGCCCCTTCCACACCGGCTCTCTTCCATCCCCCAGGCGAGGCCCTGGCCCCGCAGTTCTTGCTGTGGGGTGGGGAGGAGGAGCTATCGGCCCCCGAGGCACCTGCCCTGCTGCTGCTGTCCCGGTTCTCCCAGGCTGAGGATCCCAGCCGCAGCCTGGTGACGGGCCCGGTGCTGCGGGGGCTGCTGACCTATGTCACCGGAGCCCCCGTCCCGTTACCCCGCTGCCTGCGGCTCCTGCATCGGCTCACGTGCAACCCCATCTGCCTGGAGGCCTTTGTGCGCTGCTACGCCCCCTCCATGTTGCGGGCCTGGCTGGTGCTGGGCGTTCCCCCAGAGGAGGCTGCCGCTGTGGGACATGAGACCCCCAGAAGCCCAGGCTGCAGGCACCAGGCTGGCAGGAGGTTCAAGGAGTTGGGTGAGTCCTCTCCCCCGCTGAGCCCCGGTCCCAGGGTATGGGGATCCCCCGCTGTGCCCCAGGGGTAGGTGAGCGCCCCAGTCCTGGGCAATGGGGGTCACCTTGCTGCATTATGGGGCTCCCAGCATCCCAGTGTGAGAGCACTCTGTCCCCGAAGAACTTGAGTCCTCTCTCCGGTAACCCCCCACTGAGGGAACTGGGGTTTGCTCTAGGTTAATGGGGGTCTCCTGCTCCCCAGCTCAGGGTGAGCCTCCTACTTCCGCTGTCAGGTTCACAGTGCCCCGGCGTGGTACTAGGGGGAGCTGTGTGGCAGGGCGCGGGGCTGGGCAGGGAATGCTGCGCGGTGGGGGCTGGGCACCCTGCTGGGGCCGGGGGGGGGGGGGGGGGTTTGGAGGGATGCTGTGTCACTGGAGCTGTCGTGCCGTGGGGCGTTGGGGGCGGGGGGCTCATGCTGCAGGGGCAGGGCAGGGGGATGGGAGATCTGCGCCGTGGGGTGTTGGGGGAGGGGCTCTGACATGCTGCTCCCCTCCCCAGGCGAGACCCTGCTGTGCAATCTGTGTGTTCAGGCTGAGTCGGCCTTCGGGGCGGGCGTCCTCACCCACATGCTGCTCTCAGGCACCGAGGCCGACCAAGTGGCCTGTGCCGTGGCCCTGCCCCTCATCTGCAGGTGGGTGGCACCGGAGGGGGGGTGTGCATGGGTGGGCAGGGGGCTGGTCATTGAGGGGGCTGGGCCCAGCTGGTGGAAGGAGGCCGTTCCCGGGGAGGTGGTGGGAATGGAGGCTGCGGGGGAGGTTGTGGGGCTGATCCAGGGAGATCCTGGGCCCATCTGGTGGGGGGAGGGGGAGGCTGGGGGGCCGATCCGGGGACTGATCTATACCCCCCCCACCCGCCCCGCAGGAAGAAGTCTCTCTGCCGGAGGCTGCTCCTGGAGCACTCGGGCCTGCGCCTCCTGCTGGCTGCGTTGACAAGTGGCGCCGACCCGCCCTTCACCTTCTATGCCGTGGACTCGCTCTCCCTGCTGCTGGGGGCTGCCGCCCCCCTCCCCGCCCCGCCCGCCCCCAAGCGCTCCCGGCTGGCAGCCTCCCCGCCGTGCCCCTACGAGCGGCTGGTGAGGGCGGGCGGGGCGGACCTGCAGTTCCAGCTGGACTCGGGCGCCCTGGTGCCGGCCTCGCGCCCGGCCGCGTGCGCCGGCTCCGACGTCCTGCGGGCCATGCTGGCGGGCGGGTTTGCTGAGGCCCGCCAGGCCCTGGTGCCCATCCGCGGGGCGGCACCCGCCCCCTTCCTGGTGCTGACCCACTTCCTGCATGGCTGCCGGGGCGAGCCGTGCCCGGCCCTCGGGGGCCTGTTCCCACCCGGCGAGGGGGAGCTGGCGGAGCAGACGCTGGCGGTGGCCGAGCAGTTCCTGCTGCCCGAGCTGCAGGAGCTGGTGGAGGAGGCGTTGTGCCGGGAGCACCTGCGCCCCGGCGCCGGCCCGGACCAGCTGTACCGGCTTGCGGAGCGGCTGGGCCGCGGTCAGCTGCTGCGCCGCTGTGCCCGCTACGTCCTGCTGGGGGCGTCGGAGGAGCCCGCCGGCCGGGCGGCCGCGCTGGTGCGGATCCTCCGAGTCACCGGAGACCCCAAGGGCCTGGCCCAGGAGCTGCTGGAGGTTGCCATGGAGACGCCATGGGGAATGGGCACTGATGGGACCTAGGCTAGGGGGCTGGCTGAGAGCACCGCCCATGCCCCTCTGGCTGGGGGGGAGGGGCTGGGCGTAGGGCACTCTCTGTACCCCTCTGGGGGAGGGGCTTTGGGAACAGAGGAGGTTGGGGGTCAGGAAGCTGTGGGGAGGTTAATAGTGGGGGGGAACTGAGGGGGAGAAATGGGGTAATGGCAAGGTGAGGAATGGGTATAGGGGACCCATGCAGCGAGAGGTATCGGGGCAGTGGGGATGAGCCGCTGCCCCCCAGGAAAATTTGGGATCCCTTCTCTGGAGTGAGCCATCTCCCCTTCCCTCGGTCTATGGCACAGGGTGGGAGCCTGCCTGCAACCTTCCCTGAGGAAGGGATTGTGGTGTATTTGGGGGGGGGGTGTCCCTACTTTTGCAGCACAGGGCACCCCAATTCCCTACTTGAGGCCACAGCGAGCAGCTGGGGGGGGGGCCTTGACTGGAGGCTGGCGCAGGGCAGCGTGTGGGCTTTGTCTGCACAGAGATCTGCCCCCCCCCTTGTTTCCTATGTTCCAGGTAGGGTAGGCCTGGGGGATGCTGCAGGGAATGGTGAGGGGCAGCCGGGGTTGCTGCTCTGTGCTGGCGAGGGGGATGGGTGTGTACAACGGGAGTGTATTGAATAAGCTACTGTACGTGGAGAAATACAGGGTGGGCTTCGCTATGCACATGTGTCTGTCTCCCTTCATTCTGCTGCGTCCCCCCACCCCCGAACTGGGGAGAGAACCCAGGCTCCCAGCATCATCATCTCCCCCCCCCACCCCCCTCGAATGGGGGAGAGAACCCAGGAGTCCTGGCTCCCAGCATCATCATCTTCCCCCCACCCCCCTCGAATGGGGGAGAGAACCCAGGAGTCCTGGCTCCTACTCCCCAGCCTGCTAGACCTGATCCTGGACCCCCAGAGCTGGGGAGAGAACCCAGGAGTCCTGGCTCCTCGCCCGTGCTACTGTCTGTCCCCGTCCACCCCAGCTGAGGCTAATCTCCCATCTCTGCACCTGGCTGGGGTGTGGCGGGGGCAGTGGCAGCGTGGGATCTGCCCCCGACCTGGGGGGGGGGGGGGGTGCCTGAGGCTGGAAGGGGCTGGGGACACGGGGACAAGGATGGGGGTGGTGGATCGGGGGTGGGGGGGAACCAGGCTGTGGACTCCCTGCTTGGCGCTGGCTGCTCTTCCAGCTGGGCCCCCCCCCCCCTTCCTCCCCTCCCTGTGTCACAGGAAAGGCCTGCTGCTCAACTGCTTCCAGATGGGCTGGGGGGGGGGGGGAAGGGAGGGCCGCTTCCTGAGTGCGGGGCCTGGGATGTGTCATTCCCCCCCCAGCCTCTCCTCTGTCCCCTGCCACTGGGAGCCCCCCCAGCCTCTCCTCTGTCCCCTGCCACTGGGAGCCCCCCCAGCCTCTCTTCCTCCCCCTCCAGTCTTTCCTCTGTCCTCTGCCACTGGGAGCCCCCTCAGCCTGCCCTCCATCCCCTGCCACTGGGAGCCCCCCCAGCCTCTCCTCTGTCCCCTGCCACTGGGAGCCCCCCCAGCCTCTCTTCCTCCCCCTCCAGTCTTTCCTCTGTCCTCTGCCACTGGGAGCCCCCTCAGCCTGCCCTCCATCCCCTGCCACTGGGAGCCCCCCCCAGCCTCTCTTCCTCACCCCCAGCTTCTCCTCTTCTCCCCCCCCCGAGTCTCTCCTCTACCACTGGGAGCCCCCCCAGCCTTTCCTCCATCCCCTGCCCCTGGGAGCCCTCCCCCAGCCTGCCCTGCCCCCACTATCACTGCCAGGGGTCCCTCCTGGCTCCCTCTGTTCCCCCCATCACCCACCTCCCTCGCTCCTGGGATCTGCCCTTCGCTCCCCCCTCTGGCTCTCCCGGCTGGGGGACCTCTCTTCTCCCTTTCTTGGCTCCGACCCCGGCCCCTCTCCCCACATCCTGTGAACAGTCAGCCAATTCTCTCATTTGGTGACAGTTTTTTCCCAACGTCCCAGCCAGAAAAGCCCGAGCTGGAGCCCCCCCTGGCCCTGCGGCTTCCCCACTTCCCTTAGCGTCAGCAGCAAGAGGGGAATGGCACAAGAGAGAACCCAGGAGTCCGGGCTCCCAGCCCCCTGCTCTAACCCACAAGCTGCACTCCCCTCCCAGGGCGGCGCTGGCCCACTGGGGGCCCTCAGCAGGAGTAGTTTTGCCCCCCCCCCCAAAGGAAGAGGGGACTCTAGGCAATGGCTTAGCCTGTTCATGCCTAGCTTGGGTGGGTGGGTGGGGGGGGAGGGAAAGAGAAGAGGGGTCCAGGCTCCCAGCCCCACCAGTTGCTGGTCCCAGCTCCCCAACCCATGGGGATGGAACCCAGGAGTCCGGGCTCCCCGCCCCTGCCCCAGCCCGCTAATCCCCACTCCCCTTCCTTGGGGGGTGGAACCCAGGAGTCCGGGCTCCCCATCCAGCCACCACCCACTCGTCCCCACTCCCCTCCCTTGAGGGATGGAACCCAGGAGTCCGGGCTCCCCATCCAGCCACCACCCTCTCATCTCCACTCCCCTCCTTTGGGGGATGGAACCCAGGAGTCCGGGCTCCCCATCCAGCCACCACCCTCTAGTCTCCACTCCCCTCCGTTGGGGGATAGAACCCAGGAGTCCGGGCTCCCCATACAGCCACCACCCACTCGTCTCCACTCCCCTCCCTTGGGGGATGGAACCCAGGAGTCCGAGCTCCCCCGTCCCTGTCCTGACCCGCTGGCCCCTGGCCCCTCCCTCGGGGCTGGAACCCAGGAGTCCGGGCTCCCAGCCCCGCGCGCCGAGCGATGCCCCGTTGCCATACATGGTCAGCGCGCAGGGGCCGGAGCCGGGCTCCCTGGCTCTCCGGGAAGACGCGTCACGGGGCGGGAGGGGATCGGGGGGGGCTCTGCCTCCATCCGCCGCTGGGGCCGGGCCGCCATGGACGACCTGGGTAAGGGACCCGCTGCCAGGCTGGGACCCGCCGCGCCCAGCCCGGCCCCAGCCCCAGCCCCTCGCCCTACGCCCGCTGCCCCGCTCCCTGTTCCCCCTCCTTCCCTCCCTTCCTTCTCTCCTTCCCTCCCTTCCTTCTCTCTCTCTCTCTCTTTTTCTCTCCCTTTTCCTCCCTCCCTCCTTCTTTCTTTTTTTCTTTCACTCCCTTCTTTCCTTCTCTCCCTCTTTTCTCTCTCCCCCTTTTCCTCATTCGCTCCCTTCTTTTTCTCTCCCCTTCTCTCTTTTTCTCTCCCTTTACCTCTTTCTCTCTCTTCTTTCTCTCTCTCCCTCTTTTCTCTCTCTCATTCACTTCCTTCTTTTTCTCTCTCCTCCTCTTTTCTCTCTCTCATTCGCTCCCTTCTTTTTCTCTCTCCTTCTCTCCCTTTTCCTCTCTCTCTCTCTCCTTTCTCTCTCTCCCTCTTTTCTCTCTCCCATTCACTCCCTTCTTTCCCTCTCTTTCTCTCTCTTCTCTCCTTTTCACTCCTGTCTTTCTCTCTTTCTCTTCCCCTCAACTTTTTCTCTCTTGCGGGCTGCTTTTTGCTCCCATCCATCCTTCTCTTCCCCCCCCCCCCCCCCGTTCCCCAGAGCGGGCAGGGCATGGGGAAGGAGGATTTTTTTGAGGGGGGGTGCGTCCCCCCTCCCCAGCCTGTCTCCATCTGGAGGAGAAGGAATTTCTCACCACATTCCTGTGGCTTCGTGGGGCCTGGGGTGGGGCCCAAACTGCAGGGGGCGCTAATAACCAGGGACCTCCCCCCCACCAGCACCCTCCCTGCTGCCCCCCTCAGAAAGTTATACCCATGTGCTGCAGGGTTCCTTCTCTTCCACCCTTAACATGTGTGTGGGGGGGGGGGGCTGTGCCTTAGGGGGCGGGGGCAGTGCTGAGGTGGGATGAGATGGGGGGCTGTGTCCCGGGAATGTGTCCCAGGAATAGGGGTGGGGGTGGGCTGTGTTATTGGGCGATGGGTGGGTGTTTCACGCTGCGGGGAGGCTGTGTCCTAGGAAGAGTGTTTGGGGGCTGCACCCCAGGAAGGAGCCTGGGGGGGCAGGGCTGTGGGAGGGGGGTCCCAGGATATAGGATCTGGGTTGGGGGGGTCTGAGTCCTAAGAGCAGGGGCTGGATCCCAGGGGAGGGAGCTAAACTGGGGGGATGGGGTGCTGAGCTGTGGGGTGCCGAGGTTGTCCACCCCCAATCCAGGTAAGAGCCCCAGTGAGTCCTGCAGTGAAGACATGTCTGTGCCGGGGTACGGGTGTGGGGGGTCACTGAGCCCCCCACCCCAGGATTCACCCCCCCTTGCCAGATTTCCCCAGCACCCCCTCCCAGCAGGAGTGTTGCTGCCCTCTCTTCCTGGCCCCAAACCAGCAGGGTGGGGCGGGCAGCCCACAGCAGGTGTGACCAGGACTGGGGGAACCACTGGGTGAGGAGGGGTTCTGGCTGCGGGGGGAGCCATGGAGGCTGGATGGTCAACCCTCACCCTGGGCTCACTAAACCTGAATCTCACTTTCCCCCTCTGTCCCCTGGTCTGGTTTGTTATTGTAGGGTCTCCTGTGACTGACAGAGGGACTGTATTCATTGTGGTTTGTTGTTGTAGGGTCTCTGTGAGGGCTGTGACCACAGGCAGTGGTTTGCTAGTGTAGGGTCACTTGGGAGGGCTACCCATGCTGGGTTATTATTGTAGGGTCTCTTCCGGACCTCCAGGGCTTCTGACACTCCTTTGTTATTGTAGGGTTGTCCACAAGGACTCCTTTATTTTTATATGGTTGTTTGTGGGCCTTGAGGCTGAACACCTCCAATTGTTTGCTGCAGGGACATTTACGAGATTGCTTTGTTATCGTAGGGTCTCTTGTGAGCACAAGGCTCTATACGCTGGTTTGTTATTGTAGGGTGGCTCGTGAGCAGCAGGAGCTGTTTGGTTGGGTGGGGCCTCGTGTGAGATATGGGTGGCATGTGCTGGTTTGTTATTATAGGGTCTCATATTTACACACGGTTTGTCATTGTAGGAACTTGGATTTATGCATGATAGTTTGTTGTAGGGAGGTGAATTTACACACAATAGTTTGTTGTTGAAGAGTGCTTGGAAGCACTGGGGTTACAAGCTCTGGTTTATTTTTATAGGGTCTCCCATAAGCAGTTGCTGAGAATACTGCTTTGTTGTTGTAGGGTGCCCATTATTGTAGGGCCTCCTGTGCATGCTGTGCAGGTTTGTTATGGTCGGGGGGCAGTGGGCACTCTGTGTTATTGTAGGGTCTCCTGTGAGCACAGCAATGGGTTGTTATGGTCGGAGGGACAGTGGACACTCTGTGTTATCGTAGGGTCTCCTGTGAGCACAGCAATGGGTTGTTATGGTTGGAGGGACAGTGGACACTCTGTGTTATCGTAGGGTCTCCTGTGAGCACAGCAATGGGTTGTTATGGTCGGAGGGACAGTGGACACTCTGTGTTATCGTAGGGTCTCCTGTGAGCACAGCAATGGGTTGTTATGGTCGGAGGGACAGTGGACACTCTGTGTTATCGTAGGGTCTCCTGTGAGCACAGCAATGGGTTGTTATGGTCGGAGGGACAGTGGACACTCTGTGTTATCGTAGGGTCTCCTGTGAGCACAGCAATGGGTTGTTATGGTCGGGGGGGCAGTGGGCACTCTGTGTTATCGTAGGGTCTCCTGTGAGCAGAGCAATGGGTTGTTATGGTCGGGGGGGCAGTGGGCACTCTGTGTTATCATAGGGTCTCCTGTGAGCACAGCAATGGGTTGTTATGGTCGGAGGGACAGTGGACACTCTGTGTTATTGTAGGGTCTCCTGTGAGCAGAGCAATGGGTTGTTATGGTCGGGGGGGCAGTGGGCACTCTGTGTTATCATAGGGTCTCCTGTGAGCACAGCAATGGGTTGTTATGGTCAGGGGGCAGTGGGCACTCTGTGTTATCGTAGGGTCTCCTGTGAGCACAGCAATGGGTTGTTATGGTCGGGGGGGCAGTGGGCACTCTGTGTTATTGTAGGGTCTCCTGTGAGCAGAGCAATGGGTTGTTATGGTCGGGGGGGCAGTGGGCACTCTGTGTTATCATAGGGTCTCCTGTGAGCACAGCAATGGGTTGTTATGGTCGGGGGGCAGTGGGCACTCTGTGTTATCGTAGGGTCTCCTGTGAGCAGAGCAATGGGTTGTTATGGTCAGGGGGGCAGTGGGCACTCTGTTATCGTAGGGTCTCCTGTGAGCAGAGCAATGGGTTGTTATGGTCGGGGGACAGTGGACACTCTGTGTTATCGTAGGGTCTCCTGTGAGCACAGCAATGGATTGTTATGGTCGGGGGGGCAGTGGACACTCTGTGTTATTGTAGGGTCTCCTGTGAGCACAGCAATGGGTTGTTATGGTCGGAGGGGCAGTGGACACTCTGTGTTATCGTAGGGTCTCCTGTGAGCAGAGCAATGGGTTGTTATGGTCGGAGGGACAGTGGACACTCTGTGTTATCGTAGGGTCTCCTGTGAGCACAGCAATGGGTTGTTATGGTCGGAGGGACAGTGGACACTCTGTGTTATCGTAGGGTCTCCTGTGAGCACAGCAATGGGTTGTTATGGTCGGAGGGACAGTGGACACTCTGTGTTATCGTAGGGTCTCCTGTGAGCACAGCAATGGGTTGTTATGGTCGGAGGGACAGTGGGCACTCTGTGTTATCGTAGGGTCTCCTGTGAGCAGAGCAATGGGTTGTTATGGTCGGGGGGACAGTGGACACTCTGTGTTATCGTAGGGTCTCCTGTGAGCACAGCAATGGGTTGTTATGGTCGGGGGGGCAGTGGACACTCTGTGTTATTGTAGGGTCTCCTGTGAGCAGAGCAATGGGTTGTTATGGTCGGGGGACAGTGGACACTCTGTGTTATCGTAGGGTCTCCTGTGAGCACAGCAATGGATTGTTATGGTCGGGGGGGCAGTGGACACTCTGTGTTATTGTAGGGTCTCCTGTGAGCAGAGCAATGGGTTGTTATGGTCGGGGGGGCAGTGGACACTCTGTGTTATCGTAGGGTCTCCTGTGAGCAGAGCAATGGGTTGTTATGGTTGGAGGGACAGTGGGCACTCTGTGTTATCGTAGGGTCTCCTGTGAGCACAGCAATGGGTTGTTATGGTCGGAGGGACAGTGGACACTCTGTTATCGTAGGATCTCCTTTGACTGCGGTGCTGGGTTGCTTGCCCAGGGTTCTGGTGAGGGCTGAGTCGGGCTGGTGTGTGATCCGTGGTCTTGCCCCTCCCTGGCTTGGCTGCTCCTGGCTGCTGGGGAATGAAAAGGCCTCTGTGGGGCTCAGTCTGTGGTGGAAAATGTTCCCACAAAGGAGTGATTGTATGAGAGGGGGGAGTTGGCTGGGGTGGGAGAGGGGCAGGGGCGCTCTCCCCGCATAGTCAGTGGTGGCCCCCCTGTGGTGCTAGGAGGTGCAGGGAGTGGATGGGGGGCTCAGCAGGGGTTGCCGTGCTGCAGGGAGTGGATGGGGGGGCTCAACGGGGGGCGCTGTGCTGCAGGGAGTGTGGCGGGGAACTGTCCCTTCACGGAATGTGCTAATCCCAGTGCCCCTCTGTCCCTCCTCCCCATCTGCCCCCCCATCTCCTTCTGTCCCGTCTCCTTTTCCAGGGGACTCTGGCTCCCCTTCTTTCCTGCTTCGCCCCCGTATAGTGGTGTTTGGTACGTACTGTATGAGCTCCCCATGTTCACAGCACACGTGGCTACTCCTAGGGCACTGCCTCGGGGAATCATTTGTATTGCTAAAGGTTGAATCTGTTCCTGGGAGAGGAGTGGGGTCTAGTGGTCAGAGCATGGGGCTGGGAGTCAGGACTCCTGGGTTCTATCCCAGCTCTGAGAGGGCAGTGGAGTATTTTGGTAAGGGGAGGGGGGGGGGCTGGGAATCAGGAATCCTGGGTTCTATCCCAGCTCCGGGAGGGTAGTGGGGTCTAGTGGGGGATAGAGGATCAGGACTCCAGGGGCCTTCCCCCAGCTTTGGGAAACTACAGATCTTGATGCTAATTCCACAGCCCCGGGCCTGGGCATCCTCTCTTCCTTTTCTTGTCCCTTGTCTCTGCTTCCCCAAGCCCCTGCTCCCTCTCTGTGCCCCCTCCCCCCCCAGCAGTCCACCCCAGATCCATCCTAGCCTCTCCCCAACCCCCCACCTCTCTCTGCTCCCCCGACAGATGCCCTGCTGGCTGATCTGGAGACCACCACCTCTCACATTTCCAAGCGCCCAGTACTGCTCACGGACTCTGGGGCAGCCCACGCTAACGGGCTGGGGCAGGATGGGATGCCTGAGGCCAGGCCCCCTCCTCCACCCTACAACCCTCAGCAGCAGGTAACACTAGGGGGGTACTGCAGGGAGTGGGGCGAGGGCTTAGTAGGGGGCGCTCTCCTCTGTCAGTGCTGGCCTGGCCCCAATCTGCCAGCGCGGTGCTAGGGGGCACTGAGCTGCAGGGAGCTGGGACGATCAATCCCTGTGCAGCTGTTCATCAGGCTCTGCACCCCACCCCAGAAGTGGCTGCATCTCCCTAGTTAGTCTGAGACCCAGCAATCTCATGTCACTGGTGAATAGAGGCCCATTCAGTGACTCCTTGCACCCTCTCATGTCTCTCTCTTTGCAGGCCATGTCCATGGACCCTCTGCCTGTCTCTGCCCCGCCCAGCGGGGGCGATAAAGAGCATCTCTACAGGTGGGTCCCAAGCACGGCAGGGTTAGGTCTACAGGGGGTGGTACTGGGAGGGAGTGAAGGGTATGAGTGTGGGTAAGGAGCTGGGGGGGAGCTCACTGGGGGAAGGGAGGGAGAGACTGGCAGGGGTGGGGTGTGTAGGGCGGGGGAGAAGTAGGTGGGAGTGGAGGGGTGGGGGCAGGGGAGAAGAAGCGGGCGGGGGTGGGGTTTCTGGGGCAGGGGAGGAGAAGTGTGCGGTGGGGAGTGTGGGGTGGGGAAGGAGAAGCGAGCGGGGATGGGGCAGGGGTGGCAGCAGGCAGGCCTCCCCTTGGCTTTGGCCCAGTCCCTGCTGGCCATGGTCCAGCTGCTCCATTAAGAGGCTCCCTATAAATAGCGTCTCCATCCCGCCCTGCCTCCCCACTGCTCCCTGGGCTGGGTGGGAGCTGGCTCCTCCCTGCGAGGTGGCTGGGGGAGGGGGGCTGCTCCCCGCACTCTGCTCACCCTCTGCTCCCCCCCCAGCACTGTCTGCAAGCCCCGCTCGCCCCGGCCCAAGGAGCCAGCCGCGCCACCCTTCTCCTCGTCCAGCGGGGTGCTGGGTGCCGGCCTCTGTGAGCTGGACCGGCTGCTGCAGGAGCTCAACGCCACACAGTTCAACATAACAGGTAGGGCGCTGCCATCCTCTCCCCTGGCACTGCTGCTTTGGCGCACCGCCGCCCCCCTGCTGGGCTGGGATCCGGGCTCCCCTCCTGGGGACCGCTGCCCACTGCTGGGCTGGGATCCGGGCTCCCCTCCGGGGCACCGCCACCGTCTGGTCCGGGATCCAGGCTCCCCTCCGGGGCACCGCCGTGCCCTGCTGGTCCGGGATCCGGGCTCCCCTCCGGGGCACTGGCATGCTCTATTGGCCTGGGATTGGGGCCACTCTAGGCCTTAGCATCTCTCCCTATGGTTGTGAAATATTTTCCCCTGGTGGATATGCTTGGTCACTGCAGGCAACTAATGGAAACACTGTGTATGTATGTGTGCGTTTGTCTGTCTGTCTGTCTTTTCCCCAGACGAAATCATGTCCCAGTTCCCATCCAACAAGGGCCCTGATGGGGAGAAGCGGAAGGAGAAACCAGAGGATGCCGGGGAAGGGGGGTCCCCAAGCCAGTGAGTGACCCTCCCATTTCTGGCCTTTGGTCCTTGGGGTTAAATATCCCACTGGTTGGGAGTCCAGACTCAGTACTGAATGGGCAACACCCCAGAGGTGGCTGCATCTCAGTGCCAGGTGAAGAATCCCTGTATAATCAGCCCCTGCACGCCCCCCCCGAAGAATATGCATTTCAGGCGCGGTGAGGGATTCCTGTATAAACAGCACTGGGAGCCTTTGGTGGGAAGTTGGGGGGCCCAATGACCATGCTGTCGTTTCCCTCCTAGCTCGGCTGGCTCCACCCCCCCTCCTGTGAAGCCATCAGCCACATCTGCTACCCTGGAGCTGGACAAACTCATGGCCTCATTGTCGGACTTCAGAGTCCAGAGCAACGTGAGTCTGGTACAGAGGCACTACGGGGAACAAGGCTCAGTCTGGGGGTGGGGGCTAATGGGATTCGGACTCTTCCTGTCCCGCAATGGGATCCAGTAAGTGTGGGAGTAAAAGAAGCAATGGGGGGAGGGGGCACGTGTGTGCAAGAGGAGGGACTTGTGTGTGTGTGTGTGTGTGAGAGCAAGAGCGAGCAAAGGCTGGTATGTGGACAAGGGAGAATGTGTAGAAAAGCATGTGTGAGAAGTGGTGTTTGCAAATGTATGCACAAATGAGGGTTCAATGGCGTGTCTGAGTGAGCCTCTAAATGATCATGGAAGAGCAAGTGTGCTAATGAGCAAATGCACATGAGTGTGCAAGATGCAGTGCATGCAAATGAGCATGGGAGAGTGTGTGCACAAGGGGCAGTGTGTGCAAATGAGTGAGCAAGGGGCAGTGTGTGCACATAAATGTGCACAATAATTAGTGTGAGAGTCAGTGTGCAAGGGACCCTGGGTCTGTGTGGATGTGGAAATGAACGTGCAAGAAAGAACATGTGGGAATAAGTTCATGAGCCCACAGGTGTGCACGCAGTATATGTGTGCAAGCAAGTGCAAAGGTTGGTTTGTGTGTGTGTAAATGGGGGTGCAAGAAAAAGCGACCCAGCAGGTGGGCAAGGGAGTGTGGAAGTGGCTGTGGCAAGTATCTGGGCGTGGGTGAGAAACCACAGGTGTTGGTGCCAACATGGGTGACGGGGGCTGTGATTGTGAGTGTGAAAAAGGACAAGGTGGTGCACAAGCGCGTGCCCTCTCACAGGGGAGCCAGGAGGGGTGAGTCTGGGGGACAGCTGGCAGCTGCCTGGGATCAGACGTGGCCTGGTTAGATCACCCGTGTGGCGGGCAGCTGACTCTGACTGTCCCCTGCCTACAGCCGCCCTGCGGGAGCCCAGGCACCGGGCACATTCCTGCCCTGGCACCAGCCTTCTGGCAGCCCACACTCTGGTATGTGGCTCAGCCTGGCCTGCTGCTGTGTGCCGTGTGGTGCTGTTTGGCACTGGACAGTGCTGGGGTGGTGAGCTGCCGCCGTGGGACAGGGCAGGGTGGCATTCTTCTGGGTGTGGTGATGCACAGGGCAGCATCAGGCTCTGTAGCTTGCTGGGAAGGTGCTGCATGGCATTGGGTATTGTATAGCATGGCATGGTGCAGCCCAGTGCTGCTGGTTTGGCCTGGTGAACAGGTGAACACAGCGAGTGCCTGGTGCGGGATTCTCTGTCTAACCGGAATGGGTGTGGCACCGAATGCCAAGGTAGGTAACAGATGACTTGGCGTCGTGCCCCATATCCCAGCAGCAGGGTACAGCGTAGTGCAGAAACCTGTATTAGTCTGGCATGGCACTGTGACGTTCCCCTGGTGTTATGTGGACTGGTGATCTGCTAGGTCACTCCAATCCTCAACTCTGGGAGCCAGCCTTACCCTGCTCTGCTGTGAGAACCCCCACTCCTGGGCTGTTCACGCACAGCCACTGGCATGTAAGATGCTCCCTGGTACGTGAGTGAGCACTTTTGGCCAGCTGCTGCTTGGATTGTGCAACCGAGTGACACTAGCCAATAGCTCCGGTCCCAGGCACAACCCTAGGAACCTCCGTCTGGCAGTGTCCAGTTATGCCCACTGGACTCTGCAAGCTCATATGAGTTTGTCAATTTAACAAAGCAATTGCTATGTACCAGGCTTGTTATCCCAAGGGGAGACTCTGACACACTGCAAACCAAACACACTGCTTCAGGTAGAATAAACAAAAAGATTTATTAACTACAAAATATAGATTTTAAGTTATTGTAAGTCAAAGCACAAGTCAGATTTGGTCAAATGAAATAAAAGCAAAACGCATTCTAAGCTGATCTTAACACTTTCAGTGTCCCTACAAACTTAAATGCTTCTCACCACAGGCTGGCTGGTTGCCCTTCAACCAGGCTCTCCCCTTTGATCAGCACTTCAGTCACTTGGTGGTGGTGGTGTCTGTAGATGGCGGTGGAAGAGAGAGAGCATGGCAAAATGTCTCTCCCTTTTATCATGTCCTTTCCTCCCTCTTGGCTTTGCCCCTCACACCTTTTCAGAGTCAGGGGAGCATTACCTCATCGTAGTCCCTGACTGACCAAGGGAAGGGGGATGACTCACTCGAGAGCCCAGCAGATCCTTTGTTGCTGCCTAGGCCAGTGTCCTTTGTTCCTGTGAGGCTGGGCTGGGTTTGTCCCATACATGCCCTGATGAGGTGTGAACTGCCCCTCTGCTCCTGGAGAGATTTTGCCTGGGCTTGTTTTAAGCCGTGAGGACACATTTTCAGCCTCATAACTACATACATGAAATCACACACCTATTACAACATGTTTACAACATCACTATAACAACAATTTCTATAACATCACTACAACAACAATGCTCAGTTCCATCATGAGCCTTCTGAAGACACCCGACATGACAAACTTTGCAATGGCTACCACGCAATCATGATAAGGATGAACATGGGGATGCAGGCTGTTCCCCCGAGGTACAGAGCATCACCTGGCGTGGAATGGTGGCTGGCATGGCCTGTGGCATGAAATGGATTGGGGTGGCATGCTCTGATCTGCCCTGGCATGGGTAAGGGGGTGCTGTGGTACAGACTGGCCAGCACACACCATGGCTGGGTGGCAGAGGCTGTGGCCAGGTTTGGGGTGGCTGGTTGGTGTAACGCCTGGCACAGTGAGTTGGGGGCAGGGAGTTAGGGTGCTGTTTGTGGCCATGGGGCACGGGGCGTTGTGGTGCTTCAGAGGCTGTGTGGCAGGGACGGGCACAATTTGGTGTCCTGTGTCATTCCTTGGAGGGGTGGGGGGGAAGATGGGGGCAATGAATGGGATGCGATCAGTGCTTTGTGGAACAGTTTGGTGTCATTTGTGGTTACGGCTCCTGCAGGGCCATACAGCCCTGCCTGGTGCCAATACGGGCAGCTTGGTTTGGCGCCGTGTGGCGCGCCCTGCATTGCTCTCCGTTGGGACACAGCGTGGTGCTGTATCGCCCGGGCGCCTTTTGGTTCATGTCTCAGCACCTCATATCACAGCCGGTTCCCTTCCAGCTCCCAGGGGTCTCGGCCGCGCCACCCCCGGCCCCCGCCCGAGTCTCCCTGGTGCAGCAGCCGGTGATGTCATCCGTCTGCCCCAGCCCCTCTGGGCCGCCCCCCCCCAGGAGCACCGGCCCCGCAGGGTGGCAACTTGGACAGCATGCTGGTGATGCTGCAGTCGGACCTGAGCCGCCAGGGGATCTCCACCAGCACCAAGGGGCTGTGTGCCTCCTGCCAGAAACCCATCGCTGGGCAGGTGAGGACAGGACTGGGGGCACCTGGGGGGGAAGGGGGAGGGGAAATCAGGGAGTACAGGACTCAGGGGCTGGGGGCGCGCAGAGGAGCAGGGCACTTGGGAGCAATCAGGGGTAGGACTGGGAAGTGGATTAGGGGAGGACAGATTGGGGAGGGGGCGGGGTCAGTTTTGGAAGGGGAGGGACAGATTGGAAGAGCGGGTGGGAGATGCGGAGGATGTGGTTGGGCACAGAGTGGACGGCGGGTGGGACCGTGCAGCACTGGGGAGGGGGAGGGTGGGGGAAAAGGAGGAGCACCAGGTGGGGTGTGAGGGGGAGGGGAGGCAGGTCAGGGGAGGGGCTATCTGGCGGACGAGGAGGGGTTGGGGGAAATGAGGGGAGGGAGGAAGGGGCCTGTGGAGGTGGGAGTCCAGGACTAGTGAGGGGAAAGGGAGGGGCCAGTGTGGGAAGTTGGAAAAGGGAGGAGCTGAGTCTTTTGTCCTCTTGGTAATGGGTGTGCATCCATCTATCTATCTGTCTGTCTGTCTGCCCTCCCACCCGCCCTTGCCCAGGTGGTGACGGCGCTGGGCAACACCTGGCACCCCGAGCACTTCGTCTGCACCCACTGCCAGAAGGAGATGGGGGGCAGCAACTTCTTTGAGAAGGATGGCGCCCCCTACTGTGAGAGGGACTACTTCCAGCTTTTCTCGCCCCGCTGCGGCCTCTGCAATGAGCCCATCCTGGATGTGAGTTGGCCACGCAGTACCCTGCTGGTGCCATTCCCTCAGAGCACAGTGAAGTGCAGGAGAATGCAGTGCTGCACAGTGCTGTGTGAGAGAGTGCAGTGCCGTGCAGTGTTATGAAGTGTGAGAGCACAGTGCCAATGAATGCAGTGCAGTGTGAGAGCGCACAGTGCCGTGCAGTGTTATGAAGTGTGAGAGCACAGTGCCAATGAATGCAGTGCAGTGTGAGAGCGCACAGTGCCATGCAGTGTTATGAAGTGTGAGAGCACAGTGCCAGACAATGCAGTGCAGTGTGAGCATGCTGTGCAGTACCTTGTAGTGTGACAGCGTTAGAGCATGCAGTGACATTCGGTGTGAGAGCACAGTTCAACACAATTCAGCGCAGTGTTAGTGTAGTGCCACACAAGGCAGCACATTGCAAAAATGTACCCTCAGTGTGAGACAGACACAGTGTAGTGCATGCAGTGATACACAGTGTGACAGAGCAGTGTGCCACATGGTGCAGTGCAGCACTGTAGAATGCAGTGCTATATACTGTGGTATAGTGCTGTAGAGTGTAGTGCGAGCAATGCAGTGACTGAGTGCAGTTAAACACAATGCAATGCAGTACTGTATGTAGTGACTGCATGCAGTGAGACCCAACAGCATGTGTGGTGAGGCTATAGAATGCAGTGCACTGACTGCACTGTTATGACATGGAATGTAGGGCTGCAGATTGCAGTGTGATAGGATACAGTGCACTGACATAAAACAGACCAGTACAGATTGCCAGTGCAGTGCTAGAGAAGGCAGGGTAATGCCTCAGAAAGCAGTGAGAATCTAGGGGATGCAGTGTGCCATGATGCAGGGTGACACAACAGTACACGGAACACTGCAGGGCAATGCAGTGTAACATAAGGCAGTGGGTGTGGATGGGGAATTGGCCATGCAGCGCCAGAGTGTAGTGTGGTGCAGTGGACTCTAGGGTGGTAGCTCCCCCTTCAGGCAAGTGGGGTCATCTCACCCTGTGTGATGAGACACCCCCCGGGGAACAACCTGAAACTGTGAGACCACTGTGCCTCCTTAACTCTCCAGCCTGGGCTGTCTCTCACAAAGCTATGCCAGTGACAAGCAGCAAACCCCTCCAGGTGCTGTGATCACTCAGCCATCAGCATGGGGAGCCCCACACCCAGCAAAATTGCATGAAGGCTCTCTCAGCCAGGCATGAAATATAAAGAGAGAGGCACCAGCCAATCACCCTAGTCCCCAGCCTTGCACCCCAGAAATATACCGTCTTACACTGCTCAAGACTCTCTTGGACAGTGAAAGCTCATTAATTAGTTTGCCACGCCAACAAAGGGTAGTGGACATGCGATGGCCCTTGTTAACCTGAGCTGAGATTCCCCAAGCACTTCAACCAAAACTGCACTGTTTTAGGGGAAATTTAAACAGATTTATTAACTACAGAAAGATCGATTTTAAGTGATTATAAGTAGCTGGCATAGAGCTCAAAGTTGGTTACAGAAGAAATAAGAATAAATTTGCACTCTAAAGTCTACAGACTAAGCAAGATTTGAGTCAAGCAGTTTCTCACCCTAATAGATGGTACCGGCAGCTCACAGTTCTCAATACACAGGCTGGATTCCCTTCCCAGCCTGGGACCAATCTCCCTAGTTCAAAGTCTTTGTCTTCCAGATGCTCTTGCAGGTGTTGAGATGGGGGAGAAGAGAGGCCAAGTGATGATGTCACTCTCCCTCTTTTATACTTTCCTCCAGCTGCCAGAATGATCCTTGCTGTGATGTGGGTTAGGCGGCTTTCACTGGGTACGTGCCCTCTCTGAGGAGTCTCTGGGATGGCCACTGGAAGAGTCAATTCCCCTTAATGGGCCATCAACACATGTCTGGTTGGTCCTGATGTAAATCTGTCTTACTAGGCGCTCCTTTGTTGCCTCTCAAAGGCTCGCTGTGGGCGATTGCCAACCTCACCACCTATTTCAGTAACACACACATAGCAAAATTTCATAACATCAGATACAATGATCACATGTCCAATCCAACGGGATAGCAATGTTCAATGGCTCAAGACTTCTGAAATGATACCTCACAAGGCATACGTTGTACGAAACACTTCATAATCATACTGCAGTGGTGAATGTGGGGGGGCCCAGGGTGCTATTTTGAGGCACAGAGTGTCACACCCTGACTTTGTCCCTTCCAGAAAATGGTGACAGCTCTGGACAAGAACTGGCACCCGGAGCATTTCTGCTGTGTGAAGTGCGGGAGGCCCTTCGGGGAGGAAGGTGAGTGAGCACCCCTGCCCCACTGTATCCCACATCTCAGGGGACCTAGGCTGCGCCCCAGTAACCCCTCCAAGAGGCAGACCAGTCCCCCAGCTAGCATTGCCCCCCACTGCAACCTCTCTGTGGGAGCACCCAGACCCCTCACTTGCAGTGACCCTCCCCAGCCTGCTGCAGTGCGGCCAGTCACTGAGGAGCGCACTGCACCCTGCTCTCTGTCTCCCCCCACAGGCTTCCATGAGAAGGACGGCCAGCAGTACTGCCGCCAGGACTTCTACGAGCTCTTCTCCACGCGCTGCCAGGGCTGTGGCCAGGCCATCCTGGAGAACTACATCTCGGCCCTCAGCGCTCTCTGGCACCCTGAGTGCTTTGTCTGCAGGGTGAGCCCCCCCTCCCCGCCCGGGCACAGCGCTGTGGGGCTGGAGGGGAGGGGGCAGCGGGGGAGGAGGTGGGGGAAGAGGGCAGTGCAATGTTGGGGTAGGAGGGACCATGGAGGGAATAGGGGAGGGGCACTCTGGGGGATGGGGGAGTGCTGGGAGTATGGGGAATGTGCAGTGATGGGGGGGGAGGAGATGGGGAAGCACAGGGGAAGTGGGGGGATGGGGCAGTGCAGAGGGAAGGTGCAATGCGGAGGAGGTGGGGGGATGGGGAGGGGGCAGTGTGGAAGGAGGCGGGGGAGGGAATGCAGGGGGATGGGGAATGGGAGGGGAAGATGCAGTGCGAGCAGCGGTGGGGGGAGGGGGCAATGTGGGGGATGAGGGGACGGGGCAGTGCAGGGGGCTGTGGGAGTGTGGGGAAGGTGGGGGGAGGGGCTGTGGGGGATGGGGCAGTGCAGAGGGAAGGTGAAACGTGGGGGGAGGTGGGGGGAGGGAGTGCAGGGGGATGGGGAGTGGGAGGGGAAGATGCAGTGTGAGCAGTGGCGGGGGGAGGGGGCAATGTGGGGGATGAGGGGACGGGGCAGTGCAGGGGGCTGTGGGAGTGTGGGGAAGGTGGGGGAGGGGCTGTGGGGGATGGGGCAGTGCAGAGGGAAGGTGAAACGTGGGGGGAGGTGGGGGGAGGGAGTGCAGGGGGATGGGGAGTGGGAGGGGAAGATGCAGCGTGAGCAGTGGCGGGGGGAGGGGGCAATGTGGGGGATGAGGGGACGGGGCAGTGCAGGGGGCTGTGGGAGTGTGGGGAAGGTGGGGGGAGGGGCTGTGGGGGATGGGGCAGTGCAGAGGGAAGGTGAAATGTGGGGGGAGGTGGGGGGAGGGAGTGCAGAGGGATGGGGAGTGGGAGGGGAAGATGCAGTGCAAGCAGCGGTGGGGGAGGGGGCAATGTGGGGGATGAGGGGACGGGGCAGTGCAGGGGGCTGTGGGAGTGTGGGGAAGGTGGGGGAGGGGCTGTGGGGGATGGGGCAGTGCAGAGGGAAGGTGAAATGTGGGGGGAGGTGGGGGAGGGAGTGCAGGGGGATGGGGAGTGGGAGGGGAAGATGCAGTGTGAGCAGTGGCGGGGGAGGGGGCAATGTGGGGGATGAGGGGACGGGGCAGTGCAGGGGGCTGTGGGAGTCTGGGGAAGGTGGGGGAGGGGCCGTGGGGGATGGGGCAGTGCGGGGGGTGGGAGGCGGGGGGACGGGGAGGGGCCCAGGCAGGGAGAGGCGAGGGGAGGGAAGCCGGGGCAGCGTGTGGGAGGGGCGGGGCGTGCACTCACCCCTCCTGCCCCTTCCCCCCCCCAGGAGTGCTACGCGCCGTTCCTGCAGGGCAGTTTTTTCGAGCATGACGGGCGGCCCTTCTGCGAGACACACTACCACAAGCAGCGGGGCTCGCTGTGCTGGGGCTGCGAGAAGCCCATCGCCGGGCGCTGCATCACCGCCATGGCCCGCAAGTTCCACCCCGAGCACTTCGTCTGCGCCTTCTGCCTCAAGCAGCTCAACAAGGGCACCTTCAAGGAGCAGAACGACAAGCCCTACTGCCACCCCTGCTTCCTCAAGCTCTTCGGCTGAGCCCCGCCCTTCTCCAGGCAGGCCCCGCCCCTGGGCCCAGCCACACCCCAGCAGGCCCCTCCCCCTGTCCTAGCCACACCCCCAACAGGGCCCGGCCCCTGGCCCAGACACACCCCATCATACCCCGCCTCCTGGCCCAGCCACACCCCAGCAGGCCCCGCCCCTGGCCCAGCCATGTTGGGCAAGCCACGCCCCACCCCACAGCCATGCTTCAGCAGGCCATGCCCTGGGCACATTCACGCCCCGGCAGGGGGCACCCCACAGCAAGGCCACGCCCCGGCAGGCCCCTGAGCTGGCATAGCCACGCCCACCGTCTCTGAGTGGGGGATGGAAAGGCCATGGTCCCCAGCACAGGCATGTCAATCATTGCCAAAGGCTGGGTAAGCCACGTCTCCCAAGACACCCTGAGAAGCACCGCCTCTTTCAGAGCCACACCACAACCGGCAGGGGCCAGCACATCTGCCATTCCTCCCATGCTGCTGATAGGTCTTGCCCCCCACAAGCCACCTGGAGGCCCCGCCCCCATGCTAAGCAGAATTCGAACCCCAGGCCCACAGGGGATGGGCACTGGCCATGGATCACCTTGTCCAACAAGAAGGCATGGTCATTGGGGGCAGAGAGGAAGGGCCACCAGGCTAAGGCCTGCCTTCAATGGGGTGTGCTGTCTGGGCTAAGCCCCAGCCCCTGGGCACAGCAAAGTAGGGGGAACGTGGCTTATTTTTTCCCAAAACTCACGTTGAAATGTCATAGGATCACAAATTGTCTTCAGCTCTGGGCTGGGGGGGTGTGGGTGGGGAATGTGGGGGGCGCGTAAAATGGGGCAGGTGGGAGATAATTCAGGGGAAGGGGAGAAAGGGGTTTATTACAAGCACAAATAAGGGAGGTATTTTATACTCATGCTGATGTGTTGCTGTTCAAACACAGTGGGGGTCTCTCCAGACCGGCACCAACAATCCTCACCCCCAACGCTATGTGGCTGTTAAACAGCCGCTGCGCCCTTCCCCAGAGGTGGCTGCATCTCAGTGCAGGGTGAGGGATTCCTGTATAAACAGCCCCTGTGCCCCACCTTAGAGGTGGCTGCTTTGCAGTGCCGGGTGAGGGCTCCCTGTATAAACAGCCCCTGTATGCCACCACAGAGACAATGGGGTGGGGAATAGGATTGGAGGCCTTTCCCCTCTAGGGGGTGCTGGTGTGTGGAGGGGTGATTGCCTGCGTATGGGGATCCTACTGTGTTCCACAATGTGTCTTGTCTTTTATTTTGCTTTTTATACACTCAGTTACGCTGACGCTTTAAGTATTTATTGTAATTTTGCGGCTCTTTTAAGGAGCGTTCATGACAGCACTCTGGGCTCTGTTCCAGCTTGGAGACAGGATCGGGAAGAGCCAGAGAGCCTGGGGGCCGAGCGTAATGCGTCCTGTGGGGGGAGCGGGATTGTAGGCAGAGAGCGTTCTGATCTGAAAGAGGGCAGCGGGAATGCTGACGAGACAGAAGAGATCAGGGAATGAGACACGGGGCCTTTTCCCTCTAAGGGGCACCAGCTCTGATCCATCCCAAGCACTGGCTGGCTCAAACTGTGGGCAATAGGCCAGGGGCCTTTCCCTTCTAGGGGGCGCTGGTCCCAGGTTACTTGCTGGGGGAGCAGGCAGGATTGTATCAGGGTCACATTTCTTCTTTTCTTTTACTGTATAAGCCTAAAATGCTTCTTCACTCTCACTGCTGTCAGGTGCCCAGCGGGCGTCAGCACGCATGGGTCATTTCTACCCGGCGTGCACTCACTGCTGTATCCATGGGTATTACAGAATAAAAGCCACGTTTGAATAAAACGCTGTGTGTGTGTGTGAGTGTGTGTAAGCGAGAGAGCACAGTGCTGCCCCCTGCTGGAGGGTATCAGGGCCCCCTGCGTGTGTATCCTGGGCGTAGGATCATCATGCGCGTGTATCAGTGTTCGAGGGGGGGGAGTGTCAGAGATTCTGGCTCTGGGAGAGAGCTGGGGGTTGGGGTGTGGGCTCCCGCCGGACGGCACTTACCTCGGGCAGCTCCCGGTCGGCGGTGCAGCGGGGCTAAGGCAGGCTCCCTGCCTGCCCCAGCCCCATGCAGTTCCCCGAAGGGGCCAACGAGCCCCTGTGGCCCCAAGTGTGTGAGTGCAATAACGAGCCTGATCTTAACGGCCTTACCGGTCACATTCCCCTTATTACTTGGTTCAGCTCCTTCGTCTTCCATGGAGCCACGCAGGACAATGCTCCCCACCAGGGCAATAAATGGGGTTAGATGCAGAGTCAGTAGCCAGAAGAGACTCTGACCGCCTGTACAGAGCAGGCCAGAATTGCCCCCAAATAATTCCTAGAGCAGAGCTTTCAGAATGGGGCTGCCTTGATAGACAGAGGGCTCTGTATGGGGATGGAGAGAGAGGGCAGTGTGGGGAATGCACAGATAAGGGTCTATGGGGCTAGACAGGGGGGTCTGTATGGCACTGCATGGATAGAGGGAGAAGGACAGAACTCCAAGCTCACGTCGCTCATCATTGGCTTGTAACTGGGGTTCCCAAGGCCACGAGGCCGAGGAAAGGGAAACCAGCAGTCACAAGGGGACTAGAGGAGATAGACTCTGACCAGCCCTAGGTCTGGATCTGAGCCAGCACCCTCCAGAGGGGACAGACTCCATACTCCATTCCCCACCCCTCAAGGCAGCCAGTCCCCTACTCCAGGGCCCGATTGGAGCCAGCCCCGCCTAGAGGGGAAAGGCCCCATTCCCCTGACCCAGCCAGTTCCCCACTGTGGTGTTAGGTGGACAGAGGAGTTTCTTTCACTTCCTCCCCTTAACTGTTGGGCAGTGTTGCCCTGTGTCTCCCATGTCCCACCCCAGAGGTGGCTGCATTTCAGCACTGGGTGAGGGATCTCTGTGAACTGAAATGCACATACTGGGGGGGAAAGCTCCCAAAGTGACTAAGTGATCCTGGCCCCTAAGGGCCTAAATCCCTGAACATGGGGCTCAGGGCATTTCTACACATCAAAGTTATTTTGGATTAACAGAGTTTTGGGGGCTAAACTGCCCTGAGTTCCCACGGACGTTTTTTTCCTAGCGAGCTGGCACAAGCCACCAGATTGAACTCAAATTCCCAGACTGCGCTGGCCAGGCCCATTAAAGTCACTGAACATCCTCTAGGTGGGATAGTGGTTGTCCTAGAAACATACACCCCTGCTCCAGCCATTGGAAAGTGCAGTCAGGGCAGCCAACATACAATTCTGCTCCTCGCAGTGCCCCTTGCTGGGGGAAGCTGCAGCATGGGGAATAGAAAGAGAGACAGGGCGTCTTATCGCTCGATCTTGTTTTTTTATGAGGTAGGACGATTTGGTTTTCTAGTGCCAGTTTGGGGATTAAAGTGCACAAAATGTGGGGGGGGGGTCAGCCCCCCCCCCAGCCCCCTTGTGGTGGTTCTGCCTCTGTTTCCCTCTTAGTCCCAAGAATAGGGACAGGCCTAACTTCCCTCAGGGCAGTGATGGCAAGTCACCATCTCTAGTCCAAAGAGCTCTGCCACCCCCCGGGCTACCCTTCCTCCACTCCCTCACAGTGCGCTGGCCACCGGGGCTATCTCCATGGGGGCAGAATTGTTGCTTCCATCATGGGACTCAATGGGCGGGGTGGGGGGGGATGGGATTCTGGCAATGTCGGGAATATCTGGCAAAGAACCAGGCCAATGAATAAAGAAGAAATGATCTCTGGTGGGACAGACAATGAATAAAGAAGAAATGATCTCTGGTGGGACAGACGTTTGTCGGAGGCCATTGATAACCCCAGGGCAGGTAGACGAGATTGGGTGGGGGAGGGGGAGTTGCACACTGCATGCCACTAATACCAAGGCTCAGATCCCACCTCGCTCTTCTCTCCCAGGGAGCCCGAAGACACTTTACAAAGGACGGCAAGTGTCCTTGTAGCCCCTTTCACCATACGGGGAAAGTGAGGTACAAAAATGTGACCGTCCCAGACCTTTAAAGGTATTTAGGAGCCTAACTTCCACGGAGAGAGGTGCCTAACTGGGCAGAGCTGGGACTAGAACCCAGGAATCCAGACTCTTATGTAAGGGGCTGATGGCCCATTTGTGAAACTCAGTGATTGGCCCTCTTCCGACCCTGGAGAAAGGGGAAGGGCCAAAGAGGAGTCAGGATCCTGAGACTGACAGTCCCCAGGGCAAATGGGGAGCAGCTAACTTCCAAGTCAGCCGGATTGACAGGGCAGGCAGGCCAATGAGGGAGTCAACAGCATAGTTTAGGAAAAAAAACCCTCTCACTCCTGCCCGGGGCATGGGCTGCTGGAAGTTCGCCTTGTTGTGCGTTCTCTGTGGCCTCTAGCCTAGTGGCTGTGCTAACCAGGAGGCGTGGCTCTTGTCTAGAGAGCAGATATTCAAAAGGCCTTGACAAATCGGAAAATTGGTCTGAAATCAACAAGATGAAATTCAGTCAAGAGAACTGGAAAGGACCATACCTGGGAAGGAAAAAACCCCAGCGCACGGCTACACATGGGGGAATAACTGGCTAGGCGGCAGTACTGCTGAAAAGAATCGGAGGGTTATAGTGGATTGGAAATTGAATACGAGCCATCAGTGTGATGCAGCTGCGCAAAAGGCTAATATCATTCTAGGGTGCATTAACAGGAGTGTCGCATGCAAGACACGGGAAGTAATTAGTCCTGCTGCGCTCAGCACTGGCGAGGCCCGAGCTGGAGAACTGTATCTGGTTCTGGGCACCACAGAAAGAGGTGACTAAACTGGAGAGAGGCCAGAGAAGAGCAACAAAAATGATACAAGGTTTAGAATGTTAAAGAAACTGGCATGTTTAGTCCTGAGAGAAGAAGTCTGGGGGCGGGGGGCTGATAACGATCTTCCAAAATGTTAGGGGCTGTTATAACGAAGATGAAGATCAGTTGTTCTTCATGTTCACAGAAGGCCGGACAAGAAGCAACGGGCTTAATCTGCAGCAAGGGAGCTTTAGGTTAGATATTAGGGAAAACTTTCTAACTCTAAGGTTGGTTAAGCTCAGGTTACTGAGGGAGGTTGTGGAACCCCCCAGGACTAGAGCGGTAGATATGCCTAATGGCCTGGGATGGGATGTTAGATGGGGTGGGATCCGAGTTCCTACAGAGAATTCTTCCAGGGTGTCTGGCTGGTGAGTCTTGCCCACATGCTCAGGGTTTAGCTGATCGCCATATTTGGGGCTGGGAAGAAATTTTCCTCCAGGGCAGATTGGCAGAGGCCATGGAGGTTTTTCGCTTCCTCTGCAGCGTGGGGCACGGGTCACTTGCTGAAGGATTCTCTGCACCTTGAAGTCTTTAAACCACGATTAGAGGACTTCAACAGCTCAAACATAAGTTAGGGGTTTGTTACAGGAGCTGGTGGGTGAGATTCTGTGGCCTGCGTTGTGCAGGAGGTCAGACTAGACGATCATAATGGTCCCTTCTGACCTTAAAATCTATGATTCTAGAGTTTTTTAAGAACAGGTTGGACAAACACCTGTGAGGGAGGGTCTAGGTTTCCTTGGTCCTGCCTCAGTGCAGAGGGGGTGGACTGTGACCACTCAAGGTCCCTACAGGTCCATGATTCTATAATAATTAACATGATGTTAAACACAACTTTGCAGCATGATAATAATTCCAGGCTCTTACCATCTGGAGATCTCAAAGTGCTTCACAAAGGAGGTCAGTAGCATTATCCCCACTTTACAGGTGGGGAAACGGAGGCACAGACAGGTGATGTGACTAGTCCAGCAAAGCTGGGAACAGAAC